GAACGTATGTGTTTCTACCCCTCTCACAACCGCCCCCGACCCTGCCTATATTGGGAGGAGGACCAAAGCACTATACTGTTTTTGAAGTCTCGACATAGGTCACCCAGAAAGCATCTCACTATACATAGTACACAATCAATGATCCCTCAACTGAGAGCCCTATTGGATAGTGCACTCGACAGTACACAATCAATGATTCCTATGCTGAGAGCCCTATTGAATAGGGCACTAGACAGTTCATGTCCTACTGAGAAAAATGACTACAACAGTAACAACACACAAGATTTGGTGAGCTAAAGAGCACGTCAGTCTGAGCCAACTGACCGCACACTGACACATGGACGAAGTACCGTCTGCAGAGGTTTTGCAGGCTTCACCACAACGCCATACTTCTCCGTCAAGTCGACCGCCTCCGGGGATATTCCACTCGGCAGAGAAACCTCGAAATGTTGCAGCAAATTCACAAGAATGAACATTACATTTGTCACCCCAATCGCCATTCCAGGACATTGTCGCCGACCAGCTCCGAACGGGAGTAGTTCTGGGTACCTCCCACTAGGATCGATGCGGCTCTTATCTCCTTGAAACCTCTCCGGAACGAACTGTGAAGGTTCAGACCAGATGGCTGGGTCATGCGTTATCCCCCACACATTGAGAAGTACCTGGCAGTGCTCGACATGCGTCACACACAATGTCATGCAGAGACGAGCAACCACACAATGTCATTGATTTAGCCCATAATCACACTGCCGCGCACAGTCGAGAGCTATTAACCAAAGCACTAACCAGCTTATTAAGCATATAATTACGTTCAACTTCATGTGCTAACAACAGTCACTGCAACACATAGAATTAACCCAAGTCAGTGTGGAGGTTATATGAAAAGTTGAAAACACGTTGAAATGAAATTATAGAGCATCATAACGGCGATCAGATCACTGCAACACATTTAATGTAACCCAGGTCAGTGTGGAGGTTATATGAAAAGTCAAAACATCGAAATTTGAAATGAAATTATAGCTCCTAGACCAGTGAAACAAAGTTGTACATACAGACTTAGACAGCGCTTCTCACATAACGCTCTGTAGTGGACCAGCTGCATGTCGAACAGACGGACGACGGACAAAAAACACAAGTACAAGACTGAAATTTGAAAAAAAAAAAAAAAAAAAAACATGCAGCCAAGAAAAGAAAAAAAACAATGACAGACTGTTTTGTTGGACTTCGACCAACTCGTAAGGACTATTAAGGAGACTGAAGTTGTGTGAACCCTCGCCGAGCTGCAGAGTCCCCCATGTTCATGCTTTTGAGTCATGCACTCTTTTAACCCCTGTTAAACGACCAGTACCTTTCCCAGCTATTTTTGCCCAGACGCGGCCGTCAGCTTTGCGCCCCGCTGCCTTTTTCCTCCTGCCCATCCGCGCACATTTTTTCTTCCTGTGTGCGCTTTGTTCAACAGTTACTTTGTTGTGCGTGTGTGGCATAGTTTGGCTGCAGCTTTGGCAGTGCTGCCTTGTGCTTGGCTCTGTTGTTGCCGTGCTGCCGGTGACAGCAGCCAGTCTGCTTGACAATGTGGCACTGCTGTCGCATGCAGACAAGGCAATCAAACTACATCATCATGATGGCGAACAGACAAGCTGCACGGAAAGAGTCTGACATGAGAAGTGGCTGCCAGTGGGGAGTACGAAAGTAAGGCAGTGGAGAAGCGTGGGCAAGGCAGTCCACACATCCAGCACGGACCAAAGCAATTCATCACCTACTCGCACCACAAGTCGAACCATACAGACTGTGGACTCCCACCACCCTCTGTGACMAAGGAAGTCCCTCCAACATTTRTCCCTCATYACTCAATGCATGGAACTGTGCCCACAGACATCCCGAATTGAACCCCCCCTTTCTAATTATAATAGTGTTACACGCACTCCAAACAACCCGCCACAGGGTCTTTAGCACTTCTTAGGTGCTCAAGTAGGACCCCCTAAGCCACTTAAGACACAGAGACAGGCATAAGACTGATCGTGTGTTGTCATTGTTTGCTATACACAACTTCACATTTTAAACAAACCATGATTGTGCCAGTCTGAGGATAAGACAAACTCAGTCATTGTTTGCTATACACAACTTCACATTTTAAACAAACCATAATTGTGCCAGTCAGAGACAGGCATAAGACTCATCGGGAGGTTGAACCTCGACAGACTGTATGCCCAGGATGCATTTGACTGATGGACGACTCTCACCACATCCCCCAGAGTTAGAGATGCCCTAAAAACATACCCCAGAGAGAGTTAGAGATTCCGATCATGCCGTGAGAAAAGTGGTCGACTTCACTCACACCAGCCCTAAGAACACATCCCCCAGAGTGCAAACCCGTGACAAGAATGGCCGTAAGTGTGTGAATGTGTGTGTGTGTGTGTGTGTGTGACGAGGCTATGACAGTCTCAAGGAGCGCCCCTGTACCAACAATTATTAGAGGAGGCAAGATCTGAATTGAGGCATTGGGCGGAGTGGAGAAGGCAAGGACTTCCCATAAGGGCAAGAGTCAGAGATTGGGAAAGTAACGAGGCTATGACAAAATTCTTCTTCCAAAGGATTAAGGCGAACCACAGAAACAGCAGAATATTAGTGTTACATACTTCAATGAGTATGGGCAGAACCAAAGATCAACCAATATAGGATGAGCATTTATGCAGCGGAAGTCTGATAACGAACTGACTCACATAGACTGACTCACATAGACTGACCTACATGGCATCACTCCACACACATACAATCATGAGATGGTGGGGTCTGGGTCATACATAGAAGATACCCAGATCCCGTACACACATGCACAGATGAAAGGGGGGAGGAGAGACGAAGGAGGTAGGAGGTAGATCACACTGATAGGTCACAAGATAAGAGTCCGGTAGGTCTCCGAAGTAGTAGTCCAGAATGTCATATAACAAGATCAAATTGTCGAGGACCAAAGGTCACCAATGTCGGAGATAAAGTCCAGATGTAACCGGTGTCCAACTGCGATGCAGCCGAGTATCAACCTCAACCATCTCCAAGTCTCCAATCAGGTAAGTACCACAGTCTCGTATCACGGAAGTCCAACGCTGATCTCTGTCCAACTAGATAGTCTCCAATCTGAAGAAGAAGAAGAAGAAGAAGAAGAAGAAGAAGAAGAAGAAGAAGAAGGAGGAGGAGAAGAGGAGAGAGAGAGAGAGAGAGGGGACTGGCGAGGGAGAGGAGGAGAGATCCTCCAAGCTCCCGGTACCTCAGGCGGCAATGGCCGCCGTGCTGGCTCAGTCACCCTGCCGCTGCTCCGCTCGCTGCTGCGCTCCTGCTTCAGCCCCTGCGCTAATTTTAGCGCATCAAAACAGCGCTCTGGCGCTGACCATACCGTACCGGTATAGTGCCGGTAGGTCGATCCCTCAACTGAGGCAGGTACCGGTACTTATACCGGTAGGCCATGGTCTGGCCTCAATGCTGCGAGGCCAGGCCAGACCCTGGACCGTCCAGATAGAGTTCAGCCTCAATCGGCGGGCGGCAGCTTCAAGAGCGCCGCCAGGCCCAAACGAAGTGTCGTTTGGGCCTACCCGATGG